ATATGTGTGTGTGTGTGTGTGTGTGTGTGTGTGTGTGTGTGTGTGTGTGATCAAAATGCATTATATATATGTAAGAAATATAAAAAAATATTAAAATGAACATTTTAGGGGCTAGGGAGATGGCTCTGCCTTGTGTACTGCTCTTACAGAGAAACTAAGTTCAACTTTCTGCATCTGCATTAGGCAGCTCACGGATGCTTTACAGCTCCAGTGCCAGGGATCCAACACCTCGGGCTTCTTCAGGCACTTGCACAAATATGCACATTCACCATTCATACATACACACAGTTAAAAATAAAAATAGTCATTTTATTCTTAGGAGTTCTAAAAGTTATAGGTAGTTCTTCATGTAAACTGAGGACAAGAAGAATTACTTGTTTGTGAGCTAGATTGTGCATGACCCAATTTCTGACTCTTGAGCATATTCTATGATTGGTACCTAGGGTAGAGAAGTAAGACAAGAGACTTAAGTTCTGTAAGAAGAAAGCTTATGGAGAAGAATGGCTTCCAGGCACGTTCTGTCCTTCATTTTGATTCCCCTGGCTACATTATACATCTTGGCTGTCTGCTATGCAGGTGCTCTGGTTTTACAGGCAGTCGATCCAGAAAGGAGGCAAGAAGTTCAAGAACAGACTCAAGTGTGATCCAAAGACTGGACCAGAAATAAAGCTTCTGTGTATGACATTATTTCTAAAGCTACTGAAATGAGCGAGCCTTACCCCTATACCAAGAGGCCTGTCCTGTGTCTGCAAGAGCCTTGGCAAACTTCATACATCACTCAGGCAATGCCTGTGCTTTCCGAGAGTCCTCTCTTGGCTTTATATGCTCCAGTCTCCCTTTAAGGTGGAGTCGTACCCATGTGATGAAAGCAGACCAATGAGATGTAAGCAGAATACCTATTCCTTTAAGCCACACCTACACAGTCACTGCTCAAAGGATCCCTTGAGATACCTCTTAGAGACTGAAGATTAGCAGACACAATGGAAACACTGGCTTAGATAACCTCTATCTCCTACTACAAAGCTCGTGGGGTTTCCAACTGGAAGCAGCTGTTTCTCACCTGTTCCACAAGTTACACTGCATTCTGTCCAGCGGCCAAATTGCCAGAAGTACAGCAACTTGTCCACGTCATTATCAAGGCCGTCTTTCCGGACTGTGTATTCATACTTGATGCCAGGGTTAGTCACCTGGAATAGTAGCTAAAATTTGAGAGAGGAATCATGTCAAACTCTGCCGTGAGTAGCGATTGTAAAACAGACATTTAAAAAATATACCCAGGGGCTAGGGAGATGGATAAGAAGTTAAAGTACTTACTGCACACCCACGTAAAAAGCCAGGCATGGGGGCAGGCACCTCTAATCCTAGCACTAGGGAAGCAGAGATAGGAGGCTCCCTGGGGCTTGCTGGCCAGCCAGCCAAACTGAATCAGCAAGCTCCAGGCTTAGTGAAAGACTTGTCCCCCAAAAGTTAAATAAAATAAGGCAAGCAGCTGAGATAAAAAAAAAATGTCCCAACTGACACTGAGCTTGGATATATTTGCACATACCGGCACATATATGTACATAAATTCATGAACACATGTACATAAATATTACAGAATGCCTCATACTTAGAAGTAGTTATAGAAGTATCTGTTACAGTGGATGCCACTAAAAGGTCCTCCACCTATGTCTTTGTCTAGCTACACTTACTTCTGCTTTATATATTTCTACAGTCTCCTTCTGTTGCTTATTGGCTAAAATATCATGGATTTAATAAATTGAAAATTTTAATCACATGATCATTACACTGTGGGGATCAGCCGAAAGGTGCCCTGCATACTTACAAACTTTGGGAATATGGGTAAATGCTTTAGTGTCCTGACAACTATATAATATCACCTCAGTTTGTCACTGTGACTGGGAAGTCATACTACTACACTTTAAATGCATAAGGAATACATCAGCCTGAGGACTACATTCAAACCTCCCAGTGAATGGTTTTGAGGTCCCGAATTTTGTTCCTGGGGCTCCAACAGTTCTAAAGAACACAGAAGACACAGCACAGGCTCTTGGTTCTAGAATCAGTGTCCAGTATGAAAAGGATGGTACTGAGCACACGGGCCAGCAGCTCCCTTTTCTTCAGTATTACCTGGAGCCACACTGACTCGTTGGTGGGGCCGGGAGCCATAAGTTTCTCCAGATCTCCTTTCCTGTCATACTGGAAGACAGTCCCTGCCAGTTTATAGTTTCCATTCCACTGGATAATAAACCCTCCATTGAGGTAATATTTTTCTGGGTCTTCACTCCTAATGGCCAGGAAATTGCCAGCTGCCTTGATTTCCATCACCCTTATATCCCTTGCGCCTTTGGGAATAAGTCCGATGTCAATGTAACCTAAAGACAAAAGAGACAGCAATGAAGGATGCGTGCTAGCTTCTCAGCTAACACAGCCTGACATCCTCACCTCAGCATCTCCATTCTTCAGGGTCCATGGTGGGTGGCTGATGGAACAGGAAGAAGCACCAACTTAGAAGAATTAGAAAGAGACTAGCCAGCGGCAGAATTCTCCAGAGCTTCACAACTGAGTGTGTTAAAGGCTCTATGAGGACACGTGGATAGGTACAGATGGGCCTTGGAAGATTTGTGGCCCACACAGCATTGGTTCTCTTGTGTGTTTCTATGTGAATGGTTCAGAATGTCTGATCTCCAACCTAGTTTCCAGCTGGCATCCCTCCCTGCCCCCCTTTATCCTTGCCAATAGGTAACCTCTCCCAAGCAATGCACAGACTACATACTTTTCTCCCTCATCATCGACAGCATGCCAAAACCATCTTCTTAGGTGTAATTTAATCCAAGCTGCTGTTCATTCAGACCTTCTGGAAGGAACCTCAGTGCTATCGATTGCCCCCTGGCTTGCTTGCATCAGCCCAGGATGAAAACATCAGTTCTGAGCTCTACTTTCTACACCGTTGCTCAGTTCTGTCCAGCAGGAAGCCTTCCCTCCTCCTTTCCTCCTATGTTTTGCAAAATTACAAATTTGTAACTTATTTTCAGGGCTCTCCTCCAGGCTTCTGAGGATCCCATATCTATTTTAAAGCATTGATCGCCTCTGGCTGCAATCTTCTCCTGCTTAATGGTTGCCATGGTAGGGAGGCACACTGGTGAGAGAAGAAACTGACACTTAGCGGTTGCCTCTGCTCACCAGCTCCTTATGCTTCCATGTTCTTCATGCTTCCTAGAAACCATGGCTTTATAAGATGGGAGGAAAGTGGGCTTTAAGATGGCCTTGGGTTCCAGCTGTGCATCGCGCAGATCTGGCTATCTGAATTTCAACAGTTCCTTTAACTCCCTTGAGTCTCATCTGCACAATGATGGGAACTGAAGAATGATGAGTGAGGGGTCTCTCAGATCCACTGAAGATTTTACTTTTTTGTAAGTTGGTTTTAAGGCACATACAACCCTGTTAATTCTTCATGGGTGCTCACATCTCTCTCCTTCCTCTCATCCCTCTCCCTCTCCCTCTCCCTCTCCCTCTCCCTCTCCCTCTCCCTCTCC